CTTTTTGCAGGGCAGATGAGGACAGTGGAGATGAATTTAATCATCTAAGAAGGGTTCTGGGAGTGCAGTGTTGTATTTTGAGGCATGAACCAATCCACTCTCACTTAGCTTTATTACTTTGGAAGATCTAGGTCAATTTTCCCCAAAACCCCAGTAATCAGACCCAGTAATGATGCTATAGCCTGGTCTTGCACAGTATGTGGGCACTGGGAGTTTTGTTCCTGATCATGTGCAAAGAACATTTCTACCAGCCCACAAATAAGCAGTTTAACTCATCCCATTAAGGTTTTTTATCCCCTGAAGCAGCAATGGAAATACATTTCTATTACCTGTTGAGAAAGGCATGAAGTAGTCACTCTTCTTGAATTTGCCACTCTCATCCAGGAAATGGCCAGGGTCAAACTTCTTTGGGTTGGGGAATTCTTTACTGTCATGCAGCACAGATGTCAATGATGTTATTATGGTTGTGCCCTGCAATGAACAGACACATATAAACCAAGTCGTAGAGTCATGGAGCTGGAGGAAATGTTGGAATTTACTGAGTCCAAATGTTATGAGAAGAGACCCTTGTTCAAAGATGAGCATTGATGTTTCCAGGTAGGCAATGAAGTAATAAAATGCATGAGTTTAAGGCCAGTGTCTATGACCTTGCTAAAATGCCCCTAGTGGCATTTGAAGTAGTGAGTACTTGAGCACCAAACCTTCTATTCTACTTATCATCAAGCTTTGACACTGGTCTTTGACCCTCCTCAATACTGTATTTTGTCACTTCACTTCTCCCACATCTTGTATAGAATTCTGCTTTAAAATAGGTCTCTTTTGGCTCTTGAAATGTCCTGGATATTGTTTATAAGAGGATTCTGAGATAATAAAAAATACAACAAGAGGCAACTAAATGCTTAAAATGGTCACACAATTTGATTCTCCTTATAATTGTGGGGGTTTCACCACAATTATTGTGGGGGTTTTCAACCCCCAATGCAAAGCAATGCTAAATTTAAAGTAAGCATCATTTTCAACAATTTTGTGAAGATCATAAATTAAGGCTAAAGTTTTTTAAGTATTCCATTTTTGTTTTAATGAGTATGTGAGGTTATTTTCCCCCCATTTTTTGGTACATTAAAATTACACATATAGTGTGATCTTTGTTTTACATTTAGACTTGCACATGATTTAACAGTATAATTTGGTCAGTAATATTCCCTAGTACTTCTCCTTTTCCTCGCCTCTAAACTCTCCTTTGGTTTCTGTTGTCTTCTCCACTGACTTTCATCAATTATAATGAGATCTCCTATAGATTTTTTTTTCCTTTTTGTTTTTTCTAACATCTACAGATAGTAGGAGACAATGTCCCTTGACTTTCTGAGTTTCTTATTTTGCTTAACATAATGCTGTCAGCTTCCATGTTTTCCTGAAAATGACATAATTACATTTTTATGGATAAATAAAACTCCACTGTGTATATATACCACATTTTCTTTATCCATTCATCTGTTGATGGATATTTAAGCTGGAGCTTATATTGACTATTGTGAATTATACATGGCTATGCATGTATCACTTTAGTATGCTGATTTTAATTCTTTAGAAAAAACTCCAAGGAGGGGTGTACTGGGTCATGTGGTGGTTCCTGAATATACAAATGTTTCCTGAGGATATAAAGACAGATATGTTTTCAAAAAGTTGTATTAGAATAACTGGACACTTTTCATAGAGAAACAAATAAGCTGGGCATGTGGCATGTACTTGTAGCCCCATCTGGTATGGAGCCTAAGGCATTATGATTGTTTGAACCCAGAGGTTTGAAGTGAGCCTAGGAAACATAAAAATATTGTCTCAAGAAAATGAAGTCAAAGGAATGAATTTCATGACCATTATTTTATACCACCAATAATTAACCTGAAATGAATCACCAACTTAATTGCAGGAGCTAAAATGATTGATTTTAGAAAAAAAAATTTAAGGGCATATTGTGCAATCTTGTGCTAGCAAATATTTTTTTACATAGGAAATAAAGCACAAATTGTAAAAGAAAAAATTGATTATATCAGTTTAGCATAAAGTTAAAAATCATGCAATAATCTCAGTCTTAGGTATTTACTTAATGGAAAAGAAAAATATAGTCCATGTCAACATTTTTACACAGATATATTACTTACATTTAAAAACCAAAACTAGAAACAACCAAAATCATTCATCTTCTTAAGAGTGAGTAGAAAAAACATTCATGGTATTCATTGTAATGGAATAGTACTCAATACTAAAGGGAATGAACTACTAATATATGTAAATGAAAATGAATCTTAAACATGTCCTGCAACATTTAAAAAATAACAGAGATGCATGAAAATATATGGGACACCAGTAGTGTGTAGAGGGTACCAGGGGAAGGAGGAGGGGAGGGCACAGGAAGGTACTGGGGAATGAAAATGTTGTTATTGTTATGTGCATGAATTGTAATTGTTATGAATCAGCCACAATGAAACATTCTGTTATTTATAATTATTATACACCAATAAATATTTTTAAAAATAAACTTGATTCTATATAAGAAGACTATTGGAGAAAGAATATTTGAAGGTAAAACTGCCAGAGATAAAAGATTTGATTCTGTATTGTTCTATGTCATATTCTATCATATGACTTTCATGATAAGTCAAAACCATAGGTACAAAGTAGATCTGTGGTCACCAGGGAATGGAAGTGAGGAAGTATGCTTGGTTGTGATAGGAGGATGAAGGAACTTTATGTAGTGATGGACATATTATACACAAATTATATACATGGGCACAATATTTCACTATGCTGCTTAGACTGATTTCAAAATTGTGGGCACAAGCAATCCTCCTCCCTCAGCCTCCTGAGTGGATGAGCCTACAGTTATACATCATCATGCTCAGCAATATAAAAATCTTATACCTTAACTGTTGTGTGGTTACATCATTACATATATTTGTCACAACTCATTGAATTCTACGCATAAGAGAGTCAGTTGTAGAGTGGGTATGTATCACAATGGTAGAATGCTTGCTTTGCATGCACAAGACCCTGGGTTTAATGACCAGTGTTAAAAAAAAAGAGAGAGAGAATTTACATTGCATTGCTTAAACTGTCATTAAAATAGAATAGACTGAAGAATATTCCATTGTGTATATATACCACATTTTCTTTTTTTTTCCCATTCTTTTGGGAAAATTCCATTTTTTTCTTTTTTATTGGTTGTTCAAAACATTACAAAGCTCATGACATATCATCTTTCATACATTTGATTCAAATTTGATTCAAGTGGGTTATGAACTCCCATTTTTACCCCAAATACAAATTGTAGAATCACATCGGTTACACATTCACATTTTTACATAATGCCATATTAGTAACTGTTGTATTCTGCTACTTTTCCTATCCCCTACTATCCCCCCTCCCTTCCCCTCCAATCTTCCCTCTCTACCTCATCTGCTGTTGTTCAATTCTCTCCCTTGTTCCCCCCTTTCCCTTCACAACCTCTTATATGTAATTTTGTGTAACATTGAAGGTCTCCTTCCATTTCCATACAATTTCCCTTCTCTCTCCCTTTCCCTCCCACCACTCGTCTCTGTTTAATGTTAATCTTTTCCTCATGCTCTTCCTCCCTGCTCTGTTCTTAGTTGCTCTCCTTATATCAAAGAAGACATTTGGCATTTGTTTTTTAAGGATTGGATAGCTTCACTTAGCATAATCTGCTCTACTGCAATCCATTTCCCTGCAAATTCCATGATTTTGTCATTTTTTAGTGCTGTGTAATACTCCATTGTGTATAAATGCCACATTTTTTTTTATCCATTCATCTATTGAAGGGCATCTAGGTTGGTTCCACAGTCTAGCTATTGTGAATTGTGCTGCTATGATCATTGATGTGGCAGTATCCCTAGAGTACGCTCTTTTAAGGTCCTCAGGGAATAGTCCAAGAAGGGCGATAGCTGGGTCAAATGGTGGTTCCATTCCCAGCTTTCCCAGGAATCTCCATACTGCTTTCCAAATTGGCCACACCAATTTGCAGTCCCACCAGTAATGTACAAGTGTACCCTTTTTGGGGACAATATCTTGTTTCAGATTCCTTCTCCATACCCTTGCTTCCTGACTGCCCTGAAGTAAACAATTTTCCTCTGTCACATCCTTCCCCCATGATGTTTCTGCTTTGCTATAGGCAAAAAAGCAATGGAGCCAGTGCAGCATAGACAAAAACTTCTGACACCATGAGCCCAAATAAATGAAAGCCCAGGATCGGATGGGTATACAGCAGAGTTTTACAAAACCTTTAAAGAGGAACTAATACCAATACTTTTCAAGCTACTTCAGGAAATAGAAAAAGAGGGAGAACTTCCAAATTCATTCTACGAGGCCAACATCACCCTGATACCTAAACCAGACAAAGACACTTCAAAGAAAGAAAACTACAGACCAATATCTCTAATGAACCTAGATGCAAAAATCCTCAATAAAATTCTGGCGAATCGGATACAAAAACATATCAAAAAAATTGTGCACCATGATCAAGTAGGATTCATCCCTGGGATGCAAGGCTGGTTCAATATACGGAAATCAATAAATGTTATTCACCACATCAATAGACTTAAAAATAAGAACCATATGATCATCTCGATAGATGCGGAAAAACCATTCGACAAAGTACAGCATCCCTTTATGTTCAAAACTCTAGAAAAACTAGGGATAACAGGAACATACCTCAATATTGTAAAAGTAATCTATGCTAAGCCTCAGGCTAGCATCATTCTGAATGGAGAAAAATTGAAGGCATTCCCTCTAAAATCTGGAACAAGACAGGGATGCCCTCTCTCACCACTTCTGTTCAACATAGTTCTCGAAACACTGGCCAGAGCAATTAGACAGACAAAAGAAATTATAGGCATCAAAATAGGAAAAGAAGAACTTAAATTATCACTATTTGCAGATGACATGATTCTATACCTAGCAGACCCAAAAGGGTCTACAAAGAAACTATTAGAGCTAATAAATGAATTCAGCAAAGTGGCAGGATATAAAATCAACACGTATAAATCAAAGGCATTCCTGTATATCAGCGACAAATCCTCTGAAATGGAAATGAGGACAACCACTCCATTCACAATATCTTCAAAAAAAAATAAAATACTTGGGAATCAACCTAACAAAAGAGGTGAAAGACTTATACAATGAAAACTACAGAACCCTAAAGAGAGAAATAGAAGAAGATCTTAGAAGATGGAAAAATATGCCCTGTTCATGGATAGGCAGAACTAACATCATCAAAATGGTGATATTACCAAAAGTTCTCTATAGGTTTAATGCAATGCCAATCAAAATCCCAACGGTATACCACATTTTCTTCATCCACTCTTCTGCTGAAGAGCACCCAAAATAAAATTACGGTCATTTATAACTATGAATTTTAAAAAAATAGAGCAAAGCATTGTATCAAAATGAATTTATGGTGA